CAGCACTTCAGCTTGCGAAACAAGCATTTCCACGATACGCCAATCAGCAATAATGGCTGAGAATCCTCTGCTGCTCTCTCCTTCCCCAGCCTAGCCCCAAAACCGTAACTCAAAGGCAAGTCCTTGCATGTTGCACGTTTCAGACAGGTTTCAGAATCAATCAAAAGTGGTGAGACTGCCAAACCAAGCTGGATTTTGATGTGAAAGGAGAAATCTGAGAGCTACCTTGCCTGCTTAACGCTGAAGAAAAACAAAAGCTGTTGGACAAGCCACAGTGAGAGAAAGTTACCTATCCACAAAAGTTGAAATTCTTATTACTTGTCTGTGCTCCAGTGGTTCCCCTCTTCAAAAGGAAGTGAGCTTGCTCCGACTGTGGATTCAGCGAACATTTTATACTGATCAGGGGAAGAGGAAGTGCTTGTGTAGCTGGTGACATCTGCAACCTTTCCTCTAGCATATGGCTTGGCACATCTCCTCTAGCATATGGTCCATTATCTGAAATAAACATGCGCAGGAACTCCCAGCCCCGTACAGACTGCTGCTTTTCTTATGTGATGTATATGCACCACACTAGTTGGCTTGTGGTTTGGAGACAAGGGTGATTAAAAATAATCACCGGTCTATCCAATTGTGGGAATTACCTGAGCTGTATATTCTGTCTGAATGCAGGAAGTAATGGATAACTGAGACAATGCAAAAGAGCCTGCAAAAAAAAAAAAAAAAGCCTTGGAGCTCTTCATCAGCTTTTCAGTTAAACAGCTAATACTGCTATAGGAAGAAGGAAAGCCTGAATGAAATGGAGCAGGCAACATTTATGCATCCTGTTCCAGTGAGTGAATGCATCCACTGAACTCAGGGTTCATTCAGCTTCCCACTACATACCTTTACAGGAAACGTGCAAGTTCAGATTAAGTCCCAAGTGTTCTGAAGCAGTGTTGTATGGCTGTCCTAGAGCCTATTAAAAAGCACTCCCTTTTTTCAAGCCAAGTTTGAATCAAAGCATAGCCAGCATTTGCATGTCTGCTGTAACATGGCTTACACACACACACTCTTCTATCATGCTTTACGGAATAAAAGCTCAATACATAATTTATCTACTACACACTCTTGGAAAGTAGTAATTACACTATACATCCATAAAAATCAGACAATGAATTTAAATGACCCTTTAAAGGCCACAAAACAAACTGGTGGCCAAGCCAAGATAACTGCAGTTCCTGGAGTGCAGGCCTCTGAGTAATCCACTATCAGAGCATGCAACATGTTACTGAACTAATTTTGCCTAGTGAAAATAAGGAAAAAAAGGAAACAAGGTTTAAAGAATATAGCTTATGAAACCATGGCAATTCAGCTTACATCTTCTGGTTTACTAATCATGCTTATAAAACAAAAGATGCAGAAGGATACCGGCTGATCTTTCATTATTCATACCATTAATTTCATAGTAAACTAGGTATCAACACTTCTAGCATCAGCCAAACGTGGGCAGGCACATTAAGTACTAACAATTAAAATACAAATTTGAGTCCATACACAAATATGTACCAGTTTAGCTATTAGCACAGAACCTCACCAGACACCTTTCAAGCACTAGCTCTCACAGGGCTCTAAGGGCTCTACCTCCTACATATCAAAGAGTTTTTTTATTTTTACTGACAAAGACTGTGTATGTGAGCTAACTATCTACGCCCTTTCAGTGAAAAAACAAACAAGTACAAGACAAAGTGTTCAAGCCCACAGTCATTCTGGTGCAGAGATAAGCCAGAAGTAGCAGCTGTAAAATACAAATAACGATACTGACCTGCATAGCACAGCATTTAGTATTTCTTTATTGTAGCTTTATATATGTATCTCATTGAGAACATAATTGCTGTTTAGAATAGGGAAGCACATACAGAGAAATAATTTCATTTTCATAAATACTAGAAAACCCAACCCTGAGGGGCAGTGCTGGAGAGATGCTGTTTGGAAAATGGAGCTAAGTTACTACTACAGGGTCATTAACACCAACTGGCAGATAATAAAAGGAAAACTAAACACTGTAAATCTAAACTCCAACTCAGCATGACTTTGAGACCAGGAATAGGCTCCTACATCACACCTTGTCTCTGTGGATCTGTTTATAATCCAAGCACAAGCCACTCTGGGGACTAGATTGCAAGACATATATGGAGAGTCACATTCATGTAGATATCATGGATTACAGCAAAACCAGGCAAAGATAAGTGTTTGTAGCACAGGCGAGGAACTTCATGTCACCAGTGTCACCCAGGGAGGATCCTCCAAATGCAAGCTGCAGAACCTTAAAACCACGTACTGAAAGACTGTCCCCTAACTCCAAAAACTGGGAATCAGAACTATCTCCCAACAGGCAGAGCTGAGTTTAACCAAACTACACATGGTTTTCACACAGCTTTTCAATGCCTTCAATCTACTGGGAAGATTTGGTACTACTCTGCCTTTTCTTACGCTGTGTAATATGGCAGGCTTCTTCTACCAATTTCTTACAACCACAGTGGCCTTTTCCTTTTTGGAACATGTAAGTCTGACTTTTTAAAAAGACAATTTTGAACTCAAAGCAGGAAGAAATAAGCCATGCCTGCGTGTAAGCCTCACAGCATGCTGCCAACCAACATTTTCCCTTAAAGCTGTACAACAGCATTCAGAACGCATCTGCAAGTGGCCCCTCCTGGAGCTAAAACACCTAGCTAAGAAAACAGTGGACACATTTCTCCCTAGGAGTAAGCAGGAATCTTGCTTTGCAAAGCTGCTGAGGGTGGCAGGTTTGGTTTTAACTAAAGCTCGTTCCCTCTCTAGGCGGTGCACTTTGCAGAGGGAAAATAAATAGGCTGGAAAAAACCCAGAAGCTTGCAGGGGGGAACCTGCAGGGAAGCAAGCTGCAACATAAACAGGGAGGCAGAGCAGGGCCAGGGGTCAGGAGGGCAGGGCTGGATCTGGCGGTGGGAGCACAGGTACAGTCCCTGCCCCTCATCGGGGTGGAGGCAGGAAAAGGGGGCCAGGAGCCACTTTCCAAACAGGAAATTTCACCCTGACCAGGATTTCCAAACTGCAATAATTTTCCATGGGCCAATCAGGGAGGAGCGAGGCAAACGCACCAAATTAGGAAAGTAAATACTAGAAGGGGGAGAGGGAGGAGGAGGAGGAGAGCCCAGCTCATGCAACCACCTCCCAGAGCCAGCGATGGGAAAGGGGTGTGGGTCCCACGCTGAGCCCCTGCCAGCCCTCCCAGACCTGCCTTTGGGAACGGGGAGAGGACGCTGTGCCAGCCTCACCCGCCACTGTGAAGCCACCAAGAGAGCAGAGAGCTGCCCCGAAAGTCAGATGACCAGAAACCATAGCTACATGCTCCCCAAAGAGCATTCCCGTTCTCGGGCAGAAACACCCAAATCGCTTCCCAAAGCCTGGCGCACAGCGTACGAGAGCTGCAAGACCCTGCCGTGGGAGAGGGGAAGGTTGAAGGGGCTGAGCACGGATGTTTACAAACGTGTCAGCCCCTCCTCTGCAAGAGGAACTCGGAAACGAAAGGGGTTTGGCAAGTGAAACCTCAGATATCTTTTGAGGTTTTCTGAAGACTTGGCTGGATTAGCTTCTGCTCAAGACAAACGGATGCAATCATTAATCATCCTTATTAAACACTCTGTTAGGGGCTGAGCACAATTCAACACTACTATTTCCACTTTCTCCTTATGCAAAAGAAACATTCTCAGGGAGTCAAATATCAGTTGCAGGCATATGCTGGAGTCAAAAGATACAGCCTCTGTTAGTAACACAAACCACACTGTGCTGCTTTGCACAAGATGACTGAATGGAAACTACCTACCATATGTTGGCAAAGAAACCATCCCCCTCCCCTCCCAGCAACAAGCTTCATCTAAAAAGAGAAGGTTAAATATAAACTAAAAGCAGTGCCTGAACAGAGGACTAAAACCACAGCTACCTCCAGCCCCCTCTTTCTAGAGTATCTGCACTGCACATCTGTGCAGCTCTGCAAGGCCGGGGGAAAAACCCAAACAAGCACCTCCAGATCTATGCAAAACCAAACTGGCTTCATTGTGACACTGAAGTCGTTTTCAGCCACGTAAATTTGAATACTATTCACTGAATTAGTGCTAACTGTCACAAGATGTTTGTGTATTATAGCATTTTACAAACATACAGACAAGAAAACAAACTGAAGGCTATTACTATTACCAGGTACGCTCTTGCTGTTCTGAGGCCTGCACTTTTTAAAACTCTAAAATACATCATCCTATACCATGAGTCCACTTTACTTTATAAAATTTATTATACTTCAAGTAACAGCTTTAATGTTAAAAGAGATTACTGCAACTCCGTAACATCAACTCTGCTGAGAAAGAAGGAAAGAAAATATTCCAGACAGTAACTCAATGTTCAGGTTATTTCTATTGCACATTCATGAATCAGGTAATTTACAAAACAGGATACTCGCACAGATGTACATTCAGATTGCTACAGCCCCTCAGTACATGGTCAGCATCCTACCCCCATTTCCTTCTATTCCTAGGAAACCACGTGCCAATGGCCACCCTTGTCCCTAACTTCAGATAACACCGGCACCACCCAGCAACGACAGAATATTATTAAGATAAAAATAAAACAGGCAGTCCTAACATAGAGAATATTTGCCTGCTTTCTTTTCTCCATGCATATAGGTAGCTCTTGATAGATGTTTCTAATTCCACTGCCAAAGATAGACTAGTAACTCTATAGTGTGAAACAGACACTCACGTTTTTCCCCCTAACCCTTTGAGCTCTTGCACCCTACTTCTAGCCACCATAACACAGTTTTTAACAGTCTTCCATAATTTTGAAGACCAGGTATTCAACAGGTTTGATTTTTTTTTTTTAAATGGGGTATTTCATGCACCAAGTATACCAGACAAACAATAGAGGGCTGACAGACTAGTGTCTGAGAATACCTTTTCCAGAGAGCACACTTTGGAGAGTTGACATCTTACCTGATAGTGCCTGTGGGGGACGGGAGGGGACTGACCACGCTCCGGAGATCCGGCTCCGGGATGTGGATCTTCAGAGGCGATATTTGAGGATAAAGTGGCCGAAGGGGAGGTGATGAGGCTTCCTCTTTTGCTTCCTCTTTATGGTATAAAGACGTGAACTGGATCTTTATAACCGTGCTAGGGAATCGGAAAGTACATCTGTAAAGAAAAGAAATGGAAAGGTCAGTTTCACACATGATAATAAAACTTATTGCAGTGGTTTTGTATGCAATTGGTGAATCATTAACTCATTCATACCATAAAAGTCCACCATTCTCTATAGCATCCTTCTGCCCAGAGTCCTGGGCAGAATTACTGATCATTCACAAATCTCTGTATATGTATCATAGTGTATCATGTATCATCTAGTGATGAGATGCAAGCTGAAGGTTTGGGTAAGCTAAGTGATCTCCCCAAGGCCTTGTATTCAATCAATGACTAAGCAACATGCAGAACTACAATGACATCCTCTTGAGTTCCTGCTTTATCAAGGACTAGGATTTATCTTTTTTTAGCTCCTTGCACATAACTTGGGAAGATACGAGTTACAAGAAAATATCAAACCGCAAGCAACATAGAGCAGAAGAGCCATAAAGTCCAGACAGAGCAACAAACAGCCTTCAGGTAAGACCAGTAAGCACTATTTAAAGACTGGCCTCTACGTACTGTATAACTAATACCCATTTATATCTCTACACATGATGCTAAAGGATCATCTAGCAGGTTTCAGATTAAAATACATTCATTTAAAAAGTGCCTCCCTTTAGACAGCATGGGTTATAGCTAACAGGGTCAGAACAGGGCCCCTGCAAGCCTGTAGGGCCTCATTTCTTCTCCAAGTAACGTTTCTTTCCAATTGTTATTTTACATCTACAAATGGACTCTTCAGGAGATGCTGGGAAATTCAAAAGGAAATAAGCACTGACATTTTCCATATTTGAACAGAAAGCTTTCTAATTTAGTGTCTACAATAGGCACAGGGCTGTAAGAGCGAGTGTTCTGCAATTCTTCTTATTGCACTTTAATTAGACAATAATGTGCAATCAATACCAGCTTTCCAGGGATCATTTCACTGATAGTAAGGTTAAAGCAGCAGGAAATAAAAGCCAGGTTTCACCGTGGGAAAGGCCAGCAGAGCACAGTAATTGTGCTGGCTTCCAGTGTCTTGCCTATAGAAGGAAATGAAGGGACTCTGGTAGTGTTGTTCCAGCACTGTAAGTGCTGGTGTAGGCTGTGCATAATTCTTTTAACCAATGCATTATTGAATCCTGCTAGGTAACAGAACAAGGTGGCAGGCAAGTAAATCCGTATTTGTGACCACCTTATCTTAATGTTGCTGTCAATAGAAATGCAGAGGAACATCCTATCACAGTTCTAAAAACATACTCTTCTTGCTCTTGGTTCTTCCACACAAGCTAGTAGTGCTGTAAAGGTAACATTCAGAAACCTGCTGTGAAGAATGCAAAATTATCATTCATGCACAGGAAGCTCATTCCCGTCTCCCACCTCATCTCTCAAATGAGCTGGCTCAGCATTCAGCAGCTTGTACTCACAATGGCTCTGCTACATACAGCAAGAGTTTACATTGCATTTAATTCACTTCAGAGGTCCTGCCACCTGCACTCATTAATGCATTAAATAAGACCATCATTGCTGGCAATGCAGCCTAATTGTGTTTATCTAACCCTTCTAAACATGGTTCCCTGCAGACTCAAGACAAACACACAATTCAAACCAGCAGTGTCTGTGTCCTGCAGCGTCTACCAGTAGCAGGCATGCAGCTTACTGAGATGAACCCGAAACAAGAGTGTTGAAGCACTACTCTGGATTTTAAGCTTTTGTACTGCTACATGGATTTGCTTATGGAAAAAAAGCAGAGAATACATAAGTTTGCAAGGAGCATCACATGGAGTAAGGCTCAATACCAGTATGAGCAAAGCTTCATCATTTCTCAAGCCCTTACCAGGGAGAAGCTGGGCTTTCTTTCACAGAGCAATGGAATTCTCTGCTGTAATGCCAGGTGCTCAGCATTCTTCAACATCTGAGTCAAGGACAAATCAGTCCTTGTTTAACAGTGTTCAGTGCAATCCCAACCTGCTGCTGATCTCAACAAGTCTGACTGCACAGAGCCCTAAGGCAGTTTTGCAGCACTGTTGAGGCCAGAAGATCCCCACTGCAGCTGCATAGCAGTAAGGAGCTCTACTCCACCACCACTTAAGTCTTCCTTTTCAGAAGGACCCAGTAATGCAGATCTACATCTCCTACACGTTACTGCTTTCAAGTGATGGTGCAACTATCTCCTCAACTTACTGATGCTATAACAATCATAGAATCATAAATAAGAAGTTGATACCTGCACCCAAAACACTGTGAGGCAGTCCCAGTCTGTGAGAATGAGCAATCTTAACAAAAGCTGTTACTTTTCCAAAATCATGAGTCAACCTGAAACATGAAGTCTAAACTAAACCAGTAAATGTGCTGAAAAGGCTTGTCTAGCATTGCTTTTCCTTGAGAGCCTCCCCAAAGCTATCTGATCCAGCCACGTGACACCCACTATCTCAGACTGGAAAGAGGGAAGAGAATCCAGGGAGGCTGGGCTGACTACGCAAACAAACAATATGTTGGGTGCTGTGATTTCATTTTTAGAAAGACAGGCTTCCCAGTCCACTGAAGCAGAACCCAGGACGTACAACTAGCTTTCACACATTATGCTAACTAGTACATATATGGCCATTTTGTAAGGAACCAGTCCCAGAAAAATCAGGGAGTGGATATATGCAAGGGTGCTCACAGCTTTAGAAGGCTTCTGCAGCTTGGTCTGTGCTGGCTTCCAGTATTGACACTGCCTGCAAAACCAAGGTGGGGGTAATTTATCTGAAAACTCTATATGCTTTTAACTGCTGTAAACCTGGCACCCAAGAAATGGAAATGCAATGCAAAATACAGTGTAAATTCCTGACCAACTCCTCCCCTCCCTCAGGGGTGAGAAGGTGCCTGGGATTAAAGTTACTGTTTCAGTCTCTATCACAACCACCACAGTAACGCAAACAGCAACAACAGCACAGCCCAAGACACTGCTTCAAATCAGCATACACACACTAATACTGGGGAACTGTGTCAATGAGAAATCAGAAAAGCATGATTTCTGAATCATCTTGTCACAGGAAGCTCAATTTTCATTACACCAAACCTGAATGCAGTTTTGATGAGCTTTTCTAATTGTTCCCTTAATTAACCTCTTTCTGACCAAAAGAGGATAAACTCAAATTATATCAGGTAGTCCTACTTAGGAGCAAGACACATTAGTGCACGATTTAAGCCTACAAGAATGATACTTCTACAGAAGATAAGCACGACAAGACAGACAGCCTAAGCTGAATTGAGCATTCATTCCTTAAGATTGCTGTATATAGTTCAAGTTATTTAAACCGAGTTACACTATTTGATTCATATTGCATGATTCCTATCAAAGATGCATAGCAATTACTACTACTGCTTAACATTTCCATCATGAGAAAAAGATCAATCTGAAAGCACAGATTAGACTCAACATAAAAAGTATAATGAAGTTAACTGGTATTTCCAAGGGTGCCCAAGAGGCAACTCTTAAGCACCACTGAAATTTCCAGCTGCTTACAGAGTGGTAAATTAATGGTCTGCAAAGTCTCTTGGTCTTGGTACAGGCAGGAAGCAAACTGCTTCAATTCCAGAACTGTTGAGTTTTACTCGATAACCTGCTACAGACAGGTACGTCCTCCAATCCCTGGCCACATAAACCATATATATTGTACTCGTAACACAGTTATAGTGGGTTGCATACATCTCAATTCCTTGTGGGAAAGGATTCCTATTTCTCTAGGATGCCTTGCAAGGCAGTGAGAGTAGAAAGCTTTTTTTAGTTTGTGTTGAAACTGAAAACACACACACATGCCCCAACCTCCATAAACTGCATAGAAACAATTCTTGTCTTATGAGCTTACAGGCAGGAGAAAGTCAAAGAAAATGGATTGCTGGCTCCCTGCTGTACGCTTGAGTTCACAGGCTCCATAGCACTTGCTGAATGCATGCTATATATACACGGGAGACCAAGGGGAGGAGAAGGAGTGCACATGCCACACATGGTTACAGTGATATAAGAGATGTTGCTAGAATTTTGTTTGTTTGTTTTAAATAAGACAGATTTTCTGAAAGTTTCCTGGACAAGCTCCTCACACTGACAAGATAGCACCCATGCTATTAGGCATCCTTCATGTGGTGAAGTGACAGTGAACACAAGCATTTCACCTACATTAATGTCTGAAAATAAAGTGCTAGGAAACACTTTACATAAAGTCACCCCCAAAGCAGACTTCAGGAAAAATGGGTAGGTAAAAAACCCAGCAAAATGACTCCATACTCTGCGTGACTATAAAAAGCAGACATGTTCTCCCCCTCCTCAAAGCACCTTTTACTCACAGATACAAAGGAAACGGAGATTCATTTGCCATAACATAGTACCAGGTTCAACAGAAGCTATTACAGTCACCAATTTCTTTGTTAGGGCACCCTGAGTGCTGTTCAACACCAAATGACTTCTGCTAAGGTCTGCTGATAAGAGCAAGAAAAGGCTTTTTAAAGATATTTTAAAAGGAGACAGGAAATTGTGCTGGATTTATGTTTTTGCATTTACACCATGGAAAGCCACAGTGACAAAATGGAGAAGACAAATCATGAAAAAGCCAAGGTGAAACATATATATAAAAATATTATATACAAAAATGTATATATACAAAACCTGGAATTATATTTATGTTATGTTTATATATAGTATGTAATGTATAATATCATATGTTATGTCATATATAAACATCATTCCAGTTTATTATGCAAAAGGAATAACGAGAAAAGTAAGTTGGAAGACTGTTACACATGAGTTGTCATCAACAAGTTGGTACCATCTTTGTCTACTTTATCTTGCCATAATTTATGAAATCCTGTTATTCCTGAATGTTGCAGGTATAACGCACCAGTAGCATCTGTTTTACAAACAGTGTCGAGATGCAGGTTGAGCGTGGAACAGTTTATGAAATGCTTTGTTAAAAATAACACTTTTCACAATTTGAATCAGAAGAGTAACACAGTCCTGGGGTTTCATTCAGAAAAACTTAGTTAAGCATGAT